CATTCCATTTCTATGCTTCAGCACACCTGATTTATAGCACACCTGCTGTGGCCCCCAGACTCTAGACTTCTCTTCCGTTGAGCCTGAGATCAGTGGACTCAGTGGTCTCCTTCAAAAAGCAGCTGAAAACTCACCTGTTCAAGTTGGCTTTTGTGTGACCTTCGTCACCACCCTTTCTTTATTCTGCTCTTATTCCGCCTTTCCTGGATCCACTAAATTCCCTCTTTCCTATTAATTTTCTCTCTCCCTTTCCTTACATTTGTTTTTAATCACAATTTTTATATTTTCTCATTTAAACATATTTTTAATCATACATAAATAATTTACCTTTTGTTTTGTTGTTTTTGTAAAGCGCCTCGTGATTTTTATCTTGAAAGGTGCTATATGAAAGATCGTTTTCTTTCTTTCTTTCTTTCTTTCTTTCTTTCTTTCTTTCTTTCTTTCTTTCTTTCTTTCTTTCTTTCTTTCTTTCTTTCTTTCTTTCTTTCTTTCTTTCTTTCTTTCTTTCTTTCTTTCTTTCTTTCTTTCTTTCTATTTGCAGTGACTCAGGAGGACATAACGTGCTGCAGATGCCTGATAATCACTCATTGATTTAAGTCAGGTGTGTGGCAGCAGAAAAAAATAACTGGTGCTTGAAAGGGCAACACTGAAAACATGCAGGACAGTTGGCCCTGAGGACCAGGGTTGGGGAACACTGATTTAAAACACAAGTGTGCCTAACGTGAGGGACTGCCGTGACAGGTTGAATGGGTAAATAAAAATGTTTATATGTATGTATTTAGCAGATGCTTTTGTCCAAAGCGACTTACAAGTGATAATGATACCAGCAGGTTGCCGTTGAGGCTAACCACTAACACTAATCAGTCAGTTCTAGGTGGCAGTGAGGCAGCATAATGAATCATAAAGGGTAGTGAACAAGGAGTGGACAGTAGAGTGGGGGATGGGTGCAGGGAGGGTCTAGTTTAGAAGATGCTCTCTAAAGAGCTGGGTGTTCAGGAGTTTTTTGAAAATCGATAAGGATACCTTTGTTCTGGTAGTGCTTGGTAGGTCATGACGCATCTGTGGAACGACACATGAAGAGAGTCTGGATTGTCCTGAGAGTGGTGTAGGCACTGCTAGTCGATGGTTTAAAAGTGGAAGGTTTATCTGGAGGAATAAGCTGTATACAGTTAAAACATTACTTTCTTACCTCTAAAAATACCTTAAATTACCTTAAAAATAACATGGTGTCTACCACCTCGGCCAGACAACCTTGGAAAATTAACACATGCACAATCAACAAGTAAAAGTTCACTAAAACACTCAATTCTCCCATAGAAATCCAGGTTTCATGAATGCAAAGAAAGTCCAGGCCCTGCACAGCAAATTTCTTAAAGTTAAAATTAAACTCCCACTAGTTGTCACACACACTGTCCATCCATCTATCCATTGTCAGCCACCTATCCGGAGTCGGGTCACAGGGGCAGTGATCTATGTCAAGATGCTCAGACTTCCCTCTCCCCGGCCACTTGGGCCAGCTCTTCCTGGGGAATCCCAATGGTGTTCCCTGGCTAGTGCCTCCAACGTGTCTTGGGTCTCCCTTTTTGTCTCCTCCCAGTTGAACAATGTGCTTAGCCCCCCCCCCCCCCCCCCCCCATCAGATCTTCTATCAGAAGCTAATGCAGGAGATAGCTGTAGGAGACTACGTTCATGTTCAGCCTGCATGAAACACTCAGTGACACGTTAGAATCTGAAATAATCGTCGTCATCGTCGTCTTCCTCCGCTTATCTGGGTCCGGGTCGCAGGGGCAGCATTGCAACTAGGGAGCTCCAGACCGTCCTCTCCCCGGCCTTCTCCACCAGCCCCTCCGGCAGGACCCCAAGGCGTTCCCGGACCAGACTGGAGATGTAACCTCTCCAACGTGTCCTGGGTCGACCCGGGGGCCTCCTGCCGGCAGGACATGCCCGAAACACCTCCCTGGGGAGGCGTCCAGGAGGCATCCTGACCAGATGCCCAAACCACCTCAACTGGTTCCTTTCGATCCGGAGGAGCAGCGGTTCTACTCCGAGTCCCTCCCGAATGTCCGAGCTTCTCACCCTATCTCTAAGGCTGAGCCCGGCCACCCTACGGAGGAAACTCATTTCGGCCGCTTGTATCCGCAATCTCGTTCTTTCAGTCATTACCCAAAGCTCATGACCATAGGTGAGGATTGGTATGTAGATCGACCGGTAAATCGAGAGCCTGGCTTTCTGGCTCAGCTACCTCTTCACCACGACAGACCGGCTCAGCGTCCGCATCACTGCAGATGCTGAACCAATCCACCTGTCGATCTCCCAATCCCTCCTACCCTCACTCGTGAACAAGACCCCGAGATACTTAAACTCCTCCACTTGAGGTAGGACCTCTCCCCCGACTCAGAGTTGGAAAGCTACCCTTTTCCGGTCGAGAACCATGGTCTCAGATTTGGAGGTGCTGATCCTCATCCCAGCCGCTTCACACTCGGCCACGGACCTACCCAGCAAGAGCTGAAGGTCAGAGCTGGATGAAGCTAGGAGGACCACATCATCCGCAATAAGCAGAGATGAGATTCTCCTGCCACCAAACTCGACACAATCCACACCACGGCTGCGCCTAGAAATTCTGTCCATAAAGGTAATGAACAGAACTGGTGACAAAGGGCAGCCCTGGCGGAGTCCAACCCTCACTGGGAACAGGTCCGACTTACTACCGGCTATGCGGACCAAACTCACGCTCCTCTGGTAAAGGGACTGAATGGCCCTTAACAGAAAGCCACCCACCCCATACTCCTGGAGCGTCCCCCACAGGGTGCCCCTGGGGACATGGTCATAAGCCTTCTCCAAATCAAGGGTATAGAACTGGTCCACAGTTCCACGGCCAGGACGAATACCACATTGCTAGACCTTTCCAGGGAGGCTGAGGAGTGTGATCCCCCTATAGTTGGAACACACCCTCAGGTCACCCTTCTTAAAGATGGGGGCCACCACCTCGGTCTGCCACTCCACAGGAACTGCCCCCGATGACCACGAGATGTTGCAGAGATGTGTCAACCATGACAGCCCTACAACATCCATAGCCTTGAGATACCCAGGATGAACCTCATCCGCCCCCGGGGCTCTGCCGCTGTGTAGTTTTTTGACTACCTCAGCAACTTCTGCCCCAGAGATTGGACAGTCCATCCCTAGGTCTCCCGGCTCTGGTTCCTCCTCGGAATGCGCATAGGTGGGATTGAGGAGCTCCTCAAAGTATTCCTTCCACCGTCGAACTACAGCCCCAGTTGACGTCAGCAGCTCCCCATCCCCACTGTAAACAGTGTGAGCGAGTTGCTGCCTTCCTCTCCTGAGGCGCCGGACAGTTTGCCAGAACCTCTTTGGAGCCGATCGACAGTCTTTCTCCATGGCCACACCAAACTCCTCCCACACCCGAGATTTTGCCTCAGCAACTGCCAGTGCTGAACCCGCTTGGCTATCCGGTACCTGTCTGCTGCCTCCGGAGACCCACAGACCAGCCACGCCCTGTAGGCCTCCTTCTTCAGCCTGACGGCTCCCTGAACCTCTGGTGTCCACCAGTGGGTAAGGGGGTTGCCACCATGACTGGCACCGGCCACCTTGCGACCACAGCTAGCAACAGCCGCCTCAACAATCGCAGAGTGGAACAAGGCCCACTCGGAGTCAATGTCCCCCACTGCTCTCGGGAAGCGGTCAAAGCTCTGCCGGAGGTGGGAGTTGAAGACCGTCTTAACAGGTTCTTCTGCAAGGCGTTCCCAGCATACCCTCACTATGCGTTTGGGTCTGCCAGGTCCACGCGGCATCTTCCCCTGCCATCCGATCCAACTCACCACCAGGTGCTGATCAGTTGACAGCTAGGCTCCTCTCTTCACTCGGGTGTCCAAAACATACGGCCGCAGGCCAGATGATACGACTACAATGTCTATCATCGACCTGCGACCTAGGCTGCCCTGGTACCAAGTGTACCGATGGGCATCCTTATGTTCGAACATGGTGTTCGTTATGGCCAAACTGCGGCTTGCAGAGAAGTCCAATAATGAAACACCACTTGAGTTCAGATCAGGCGGGCCGTTCCTCCCAATCAGTTAGAGATAAACGTTAGAATCAGAAATAATCATTAAATGTATTTTTTTCAGTGAGGTTGACCTATATATATGGCTGCATGGTCACGCAGTGGTTAGCACTGTTGCTTCGCAGCACGAAGGTTGCAGGTTCGAAACTCGGCTGCGGCCTTTCTGCGTGGAGTTGCGTGTTCTCCCCATGCATGCGTGGGTTTCCTACAGGTACTCCGGTTTCCCCCACAGATCACAACATGCCCTATGGGTTATAAATTGTAAGTCGCTTTGGATAAAAATGTCTGCTAAATGTATAAACATAAACATATATTGACCTACAACAGATTTGTTAGATTTCCAAAATGTGTCCCCCCAATATTAAACTCGTTCCTACGCCCTTGATTACCACATTCTTAAAATAAACACTAGAAGCCAGAGAAGCAATAATTTATTATGACACACAACCATCGAACTTCTAACAGAAAAGTTAACAAAAGGTCATGGAATCCTTTATATGCAGCCGAGGGACACGGGGATGAGTTTTTCGCACAATTGCTAAACTTGGATGGCCTAGAAGGAGAGACAGCTGGTGAACAATAGGGTACCAGCTCTCAGCCAGAAGGAACCCACTAAAGGACACCAAGCCTGGAGCCCCCAGGCCAACACACAATCACTTTACTAGATATGGGATAAAACAAGCTTGAAACCAAAGAGTCCAATCCAAAACCGAGCAAGAAGCCATCAAGTTCAGGAGAACCAAGCCAAAAAGTCAGAACCCCGGAGCAACCCCTAGTAGTAGCTCAGGGAGGGGCAGAAACCCCTCAGCACCAACCTGCTGCATACAGCAAATAACCAGCTCCAGGACCAGCCCATCAAGCAGTGGGCTCACCCACAGACACCATCTGTTTTAAAGGGGAGGAGAGTTTAAGTTAAGTTTATTAAAGACAACTTTGTTCAGAAAGCTGGTAGAGCTCATGAGGCTCTGATATGGAGATTTTGGGTGGAGCTGAACTCTGTTTTCCACAACTCATTAACACTTCCTGCAAGAAATCCATGCAGCTTCATTCTGAGAGCATTTTCATTTATGTTCTGCTGTCCTGTATCTCGTTTGTGACCGTGACTCTCAACCTGCTGGTCATCATCTCCATCTTCCACTTCAGGCATAAAGATACAATTCTGCTGAATATTTTATATATGCTAAATTACAATTGCTGGTTTTCCAAGAAATTATATTGATTAAACGTTGTTACCCAAAGTTTGATTTGCTTAGAATGCTGTAGTTAACATTTGTTATACGTTTTACTTATTTTGTCTTCAGTGTTGTTTTTCTCTCCATCCAGGCAGCTCCACACTCCCACCAACTTCTTCCTCTTGTCTCTGGCTGTCTCAGACCTGCTTGTTGGACTCTTGCTGATGCCCTTTCAAATCATGTTGTTAGGAGGATGTTGGTATTTGGGAAACCTTGTGTGTGTAATGTTTAAATACAACTCTTTTGTTATTCCCTCTGCCTCAGTCGGACACATGGTGCTCATATCAGTTGATCGGTTTGTGGCCATCTGTGACCCTCTATGTTATCCTTCTAAAATCACTCAAAAAAGAGTTAAAGTGTGTGTGTGTATGTGCTGGATTGGGTCAGTGCTGTATAATGGTGCGATACTAAACCATTTTCTTAAACAACCTGAAGCACATAACTCCTGTAGTGGAAAATGCATAGTTACTCTCGACGTCTTAACAGAAACGTTTGATCTGATATTCACCTTTATTGGTCCCATTACAGTCATCATAATTCTGTACATGAGAGTATTTGTGGTGGCGGTGTCTCAGGCTCGAGCCATGAGGTCTCATATTGCATCTGTCACTCTGCAGGGTTCAGTTCCTGTAACTGCTAAGAAGTCAGAGAGAAAAGCAGCTACAGCTCTCGGTGTTGTTGTGCTGGTGTTCCTAATATGCTTTTTTCCTTATTTTTATAGTGTTCTTGCTGGCCAGGATTATCCATTTGGTAAACAATTTTCAGCTTTTGGACTTTGGCTGCTTTACTTTAACTCTTGTTTAAATCCACTTATCTACACATTTTTCTACCCCTGGTTTAGAAAGTCTGTTAAACTCATCATTACTTTTCAAATATGCCAACCTTATTCCTCTGATGCCAACATACAGAATGATTTCCCACAACTTTAAAACTGAGAACAGTGCACTGAAGCTACATTTCTCGGTTATTTCTGTTCACAATGTTAATTTTGCATCACAAAATAATTGCTAAATGAAATAACCATCTCCTGAACAAGTATTGATGCATGTTTTTCCTCAAAACATAATGCAATATGAAAGTCAAAACCTTGTTCTCTCTGAATGATCTCTGATGGAAACTTAACCTTTTGTGTACATAGAAGAAATTTTAGATCTTTGAACCCAGCTCTCGCCTAATAGGGGCAAAAATAAATGTGTTGTGTTATAATTTTGTTGTTTTCAATGAGGTCCCAGATCAAGATCTGGTCTTTTAACCTTTTAAGCCTTAGGTTCATATCCTTTCACTAACAACAAAGTGATTCGATTGATATTGAAGATGTGTGTGTGTGTGTGCGCGCGCGTGTGTGTGTGTGTGTGTGCGCACGTGTGTGTGTGTGTGTGTGTGTGCACGCGCGCGTATGTGTGTGTGTGTGTGTTTGAGGGGAATGGAGAAGGACCATGAATCAGGTTCTTCTGTTGTTTCTAAATCTGTCTGACTTGCTAATGATCAGTAACAAAGTGAGAAGAAAAAGAAGAAGATATTTTGTATATTGTGCCACTCAAGATAATCACAAGGCGCTTCACAAGAATAATAAAAATAAAAACTAGTTTAAAAAAGATCTTAATAAAATGGTGGAAAAAACAAAAAACTGTACAGAAAACATAAAGAAATAAGTAATTACGGAATCCCGGAAAAGACGGAATTTACAGAAATACCAGCATGAAAAGAAGCTACTGAAGAAGTAGAGGATGAACAGGTGGACACACCAAAGCCATTCTGAACAGGTGAGTTTTCAGCTGCTTTTTAAAGGTGACCACGGAGTCCACTGATCTCAGGCTCAGGGGAGAGGTCCAGAGTCTGGGGGCCACAGCAGCAAATGATCTGGAGGAGCATGGTGATGTGAATGGGTTTCGACAATTTGTTCGAGACCAGCACATTTATTCTAAACCACTTGCAGACGGTTCAGGGAGTTTTTTTCTTGGACAAGATGACCAAAAGAGTATCTGACTTTGGGAACAAGCTTTACTGGGGCAAAGATGAGGATTTAAGTCTTGTCATCATTCAGCGTTAGAAAGTTCCCGGAAAATGTTTTAATGGATTCTAAGCAGGTGTGCAACAGCTGCAGATTAGACATCTCATGGGGCTTAAAGAAGACGCACAGTTGAATGTCATCTGCATAAAGATGGTAGGATAGTGCTTTAAAAAACTCAGGATGTGCTGGAGAGGGGGCAGATACAGGAGGTAGAGCAGAGGCCCCAGCACAGAACCTTGTGGGACACCACAGGGGAGGTGGAGGAGGACCGAAACTTGGAGACAGCCACAGAAAAGGAACACTCAGACAGATAAGAGGAGAACCTCTCCAGAGCAGATCCTGATAGGCCTACCCAGTCTCTCAGCCTCTCCAGTAGCAGGTGATGGTCAACAGTGTCAAAGGCTGCAGTCAGGTCCAGCAGGACCAGAACAGAACAGTCCCCTGCATCACTGTGAGTCAGAAGGTCATTAGAGACCCTAAGAAGAGCTGTTTCAGTAGAATGAGCTCTACGAAAACCTGACTGGAAGCGACCATAGATGTTACATCTATGGTCATCAAGAGCAGCTGTGAGTTGTTTAGCCACAACTTTGTCCAAGATCTTGGAAATGAACGGAAGTTTAGAGATGGGTCTGAAGCTGCTATGGAGAGTGGGGTCAAGATCTTTTTTTAAGAAGTGGGTGGATTATGTAAGTCTATGAAATAAGCAGGGACCTGACCAGAAACCAGGGATGTATTAATTATGGAGAGCACACTGGGACTGATGGACTGAAAAGTGTCATGAGCCGGGGTGAGTACTCCTGTTCTCATAACCATCTGTGAGTCTCTTGCCAGGAGAGGGAGTGGCCCAGCTGTTCCTGATCAGCAATCAGCGGGGTGCCTTCCTATTTAAGGTGGATGGTGGACACACTTCGACGCCGGAAGATTGCCTCAGTTTTGGTAGTAACCAGCCACTCGTGTGATCTCTAGGGTTCTTAGGATAAATGTTATTCGTAGTGTTTGCGCTTATATTGGATTTACCCTTCCTCAGGATTCCTGTCGACCTCCTTGGATTCTGACCTCTACCAGGATTTTGGATCTTCAGCACACGGACCATATCACCACCGCCATAACCCACCTCTCATCTCACCCAGTGCCCCATCCACCAGGACGCCCCGCTTCTCTCCACCTCTGCTCCCTCTCCTGCGCTTCCCCGGCTCTCTACCTCTCCCTCCTCCTGCCAACACATACACCCACCACAACGCTGAGCTGATTGTTGCAGTTTCAACCACAGAATTATCTGTGCATCTTAAGTTTCCCCTTATAAATAAATCTTTTTTTTATCCATTTTTGGTCAGTGTTGTGCTCTGCATGTCCTGGGTTAGGTACCTTCCCCCAATCATGACAGAAAAGCATTTTTAATCAAAGATGAGGGTAAGGTGTTGAGGGATGTAACATGAGGACCCGAAAGAGGGTCCACAAGAGTTCGGTGAGACAGAGCACGGTGTTTAGCGTTTGATGCAGTTCTCTGATAAGACCTAAGTTTATCCAAACCATCACTTCACTCAGACACCTGTTTCTTCCTGAAGCAAAATCAGATGCACACACGCATCCATCTCACCTCATGTTCAATTCTCACTACACTTTGCACACACACGCATCCATAATCACATCATATCACTCTCAATCTTCATTCACCGACAGAAGGTCTATTTGAGCAAGAACAGCATATCAACTGTTAAAGATTGTCCCACAAAGTTGCCAATGTTGATTGTTATTTCCTGTTTGTCAATTTCAAAATCATTAGTTTAATTTGAAGAATTAAAACTTTTAATTGTCAAACTGGTTTCCTCATTGAACTGAAACACAGACACACAGATATTATCGTCAGTTTATCGATGAAAACAACCTTTGAGTCTTCTTAACAATATAACTGAGTAAAGACAGTTTCTCCTTACAATATAACTGAGTCAATTTTTTTTTCTTTAAAAATATGGCTGAGCCAGCCAAATTTCTTTACAGGGAGCATGCAGAGGTCTTCGTAGATAACTACTTTGGTTAGCTCAGGCAAAGAAAGGGGATCAAAAATTTCTTGAGTGACGGGCCGGTTTGAAGTTGGAACAAGCTTGTTTGGGGTGGTGGGTTGCTTTGCTCAGCGTTGGGTGGGGGAGCCTGCTCATCAGCACCCCAGCAGAAAGGGTCGAACTCTGGGAACCGGTAATAGTTGTGCCCCATGTGCAGCAGTATCGGGACCAGAATGAATAGGGTGTGTATGGGGAGCATGAGTGGGTGTCCGGCATGCATTTTTGTAAGTCTTTGGTTGTATGTGCATGTGTGAGCATGAGGAAGGAAGTGTGTGACTGTGTCTGTGTATGACCGTATATGTCAGGTGGGGCATTTGACTCCTCCCTTCTCCTGGGAGTTCTTGTGATGATATACATCTTCATCTCCCCTCTCCCTGCCACACCTGGTGTGGAGTGCGGTGCCTTGGTCTGCCTGAGTGTTCGTGGCTCCTGGGTCAGGGGGTTTAAGATTTTTGACGTCTGCCTGACCAATCCCAGTGGCAGCCTGATGGGATCTGCAGAGATAAGGCTGAAGGAGAGATGCTAGATATAACCTTATTGACTGTATCCACAAAGAAAGACAAGAAGTTTTCACAGTATCCATCAGGGTGATTGTAGGTGAAGCAGGAGAGACCTTACTTCTGATGATGCTAAACAACACCAGTGAGGAGGGTGGTGTGAATTGATTCACTAAAGGAAATAAATGCATTCATGAAATCATCACTCTTTAAATTTGTTGGGATTCTACAGAGTCATTACCACATTACCAGGCTTTATCTACTGTATCTTCAGGTTAAACAACATTCTTCCAACTTGATGGAACAACATATTTTGTCGAAGTCTGGTTTTTAAATACCGGTACACATCTCTCATTTAAATCAAGAACTTGGCCTCCTCCAATTTATCATCCTGATCTTTCAAGACACAACAGAATACTGTGAAATATTCATTGTAACTGTAAGTTACTCTTGTCTCAAGGCAATATGAGGGAGATGTTTCATTAGGAGATATGCTCTGTGAATCCTCAAAAGCACCGGCAATGTCCATGCAGGAACCCAGGAGGAGATGCAGGAATGCAGGAATCCCAGAGAATAATCCAGAATATGCCAAGATAATCCAGGAGATGAAGCCCATGGCAGTAGATAGATGTGGATGGCATCAGGTTAACAGTTCATCTGGAGGCTTATGACAGCGTTGGCAGCACACAAGCAATTGACCCATACAATGATGTCAGATGGTAAAAAAATTAAAGGAACTATGTGTATGTAGATTATTTGAATGGTGTCATTGAAGAAAAATTGAGTAAATAAAAGTGATGAAGTGTAATCACTGATGTGTAAATGAATTAACTAACTGTGGTAAAATGAAAACTACTCTGAGTAGCAATGATCCTGACACATGCAACCTGACAGGCTTTCATCTGGAACCTCTACCAAATGTTTTTAGTTCACCGTCACTTGTGTTGACAAGGCTTGTCCTGTCTCTTCCAAGTTGTCCGCCAGTTGATCATCTTTTTACAGCTTTTCAATTTCCTGGCTTTCCCAACATAAAGGGCCTACCGGACTGCCAACTGAAAAGCAAAACTGATCTGTGGGCAAAACTGGCATGGTAAGAGGTCCTCCATAAGTTGGCCAACATGGAGGTAGTACTTCCTGTAGTACTATTTCTGCTTTTAGCTCAAATCAGCCCCAAGAGTGAGGCACGAGATAGTCCCACCTCCAGGTCTGACTACAGGTTAGTGTCTCAGATGATTACATAGTAGTTTATTTTTTAAGAGGGAGGAGTGAGATCAGCCAGCTTCATTAATGACAACTTTGGACAGAGATCCACCAGAGCTCAACAGGCTCTGATCAGCTGATCATGGAGTTTTTGGATAAAGATGAACTCTGTTTTCCAAAACTCATTAACACGTCCTGCAAGAAATCCATGCAGCTTCATTCTGAGAACATTTTCATTTATGTGCTGCTGTCCTGCATCTCGTTTGTGACCATAACTCTCAACCTGCTGGTCATCATCTCCATCTCCCACTTCAGGCATAAAGATAAACTGAAATAATGCATTTAAATGTTAATAGTTTACTATGCAGTGCATTTCCTGTGGTTTCCAAAAAGATTTATTTGATCAATTAGTGAATACAATATGAATTATATGTTATAATGTTGATTTACAGTAGGACTAGTACCACAGTGTTTTTATCAGCATGCTCAATAATAAATTTGACTTTTAACCCAAAGTAAGGGGTTTCAGCATATTTCAAAACTAATGCAGCAGAGCAATCCGAGTCTCAGTTATTGGATACATTTGAGATGTTGTAGATGACATTTGGTCTGACGTTTTCTCATTTTGTCTTCAGTGTTGCTTTTCTCTCCTCCCAGGCAGCTCCACACACCGACCAACCTCCTTCTCTTGTCTCTGGCTGTCTCAGACCTGCTTGTTGGACAGCTGCTGATGCCTTTTCAAATCACATTGTTGGGAGGATGTTGGTATTTTGGAAACTTCATGTGTGTAGTTGTAAAATACAACTGCTTTATTTTTACCTCTGCCTCGGTCGGGAACATGGTGCTCATATCAGCTGACCGATATGTGGCCATCTGTGACCCTCTGCATTACCAAACCAAAGTCACTAACAGTAGAATCAAAATCTGTGTGTGTGCATGCTGGGCTTGTTCTGTCTTCTATACTGGGGTGATTCTGACTAATTTTTTTAAGGATCCTGACAGATATAACTCCTGTGTTGGTGAGTGTGTACTTTTAGTTGATTTCATGATACAGGCTTTTGATTCAGTAATTACTTTTTTTGGCCCCATAATGCTCATCACCATTCTGTACATGAGAGTATTTGTGGTGGCGGTGTCTCAGGCTCGAGCCCTGAGGTCTCATGTTGCATCTGTCACTCTGCAGGGTTCAGTTCCTGTAACTGCTAAGAAGTCAGAGAGAAATGCAGCCACAGCTCTCGGTGTTGTTGTGCTGGTGTTTCTAATATGCTTCTGTCCTTATTTTTATAGTGTTCTTGCTGGCCAGGATTATCCATTTGGTAAAGAAATATCAGATTTTGGACTTTGGCTGCTTTTTTGTAACTCTTGCATAAACCCACTGATCTACACGTTTTTCTACCCCTGGTTTAGAAACTCTGTTAGACTTATTGTTACTTTTCAAATATTTCAACCTGATTCCTGTGATGCCAACATAATGAAATGATGATGTTGTAACTTTAAGGGTCAAACTCAATATTACAAACATTGTTCTAAATTGATTAATGCATGAAAATGATAATAAAAAATGATTATATATATATATATATATATATATATATATATATATATATATATATATATATATATATATATATATATATATATATATATTGCTGTCCTCTAACACATTTTTGAGCACTCAAATACTTTTACACTTAGGGTTAACAACAACTGATGCAGTGAATTAACAGTTAGGACAAAATACAGCAGGCCATTTAAGGAACACTTATAAAACATCAAATATGCATACGAAAAAATATATATTTTTTTTAAATTACAGTAATGATAATTTATTTAATTGAAACAAAAGTAAAAAATAAAAACAACTAAAGATAAACAAATTAATTCTGTACAATTTACTAGAAAGCTTCTATGACAAATCTAAGCAGCCTAACAGCCTGCATGAGTTTAATGCTGTTTATCTTAGTGTTTACTTTCCATGTGATTTTGCAACGTAGAAAGGAAGACAGTAGTGTATTTTAAGTTATACCTTTTAATCCTATTTTTCTGAGCCTATTCAGGCAGTCAGCACGAGAAGTTCTGATATGACTAGGAACAACCAGGCCAAGATAGTGGTGGCGACAGGATCATGTTTTTTTGCTGTTGAATCATGAAATCACTGCTTCTGCTTTTGAAAATAACATGACAGTTTTTTCTGAGGCCTGTAGAGGGTGGCTATTGCCTCTACTGAGCTTTTGTTAAATACATGTAGTTAACAGTTTAAATACAGGTGAAACTCGAAATCGTACAAAAGTCCATTTATGTCAGAAATTGAAATTAGACTGAGAGACCATGTAAAGACTCAAGACCCCTTTGCAGGTGTTTAGGTTTAATTATCTGATTAGAGTGTGACACTTTGAGTCTAGATTATTGAACCTTTTCACAATGCTCTAATTTTCTGAGACTCAGAATTTGGGGTTTTAATCAGCTGTAAGCCACAATCATCACTATTATAACAAATATAGGCTTAAAATATCTGGCTTTGCATGAAATAAGTCTTTCTATACGCTGCTCAAAAACTAAAGCGAACACAAAAATAAGACATCACAGATCTGATTGAATTAAACATTCTTATTAAATTCTTTGTTGTTTACAAAGTTGTTTAACATACAAAAGGCCAACAAGGTTAGATGGTCAGATTTCATCACACGGAAGTGTACAGGCTGTTTCATCTGCCTGGAATATTGTGTTCTTCATCATTATGCCACATCATAACTGTCTGGTCTCCAAACCAGAAAACACTACTCTATGACCTTGTTACCAAGAAGAGAAGACATAATAATCTCCTTCTCCTGACGCCCTTATCTCAGCTGCAACCCCAAGGTCCAAAGTTAAAGACAAGACTGTTATTCTCTGAATAAAATGATTCTTGGAAACATGATTTCTTTCAATCTACAAGTTTACAATTGTATCCTGTGTTATCTACAATCAATGTTCTATCTAAAGTGATTAAATGATTAGTTAATTAATCAAAACAAATGTTTTATTTCTTTCAGATCTTATATTACTCCGGATTAGTAATTGTTGAAATTAATGTTAATCTAGCAGTATATTCACAATTAATATTATTATGAATGTTTAATACATTCACATTAACGTTTAATAAGATTTTACTTCACATTAAAAAATAACCTCTCTAAGTGTTAAAATAAGGGAGTGGTGTCTGAGGTATTTTGATAACGCCCACTTTAACTTGTTTCAATGCTGCATAAAACACAAGATGAGAAAAAGTCTCTGTTAATGTTTCTCATCAGGGTCAGCTCGTCCATTTTGTTGTCGAGTGAGTGCACGTTGGATAGGAAGATCCCAGGTAGAGCCGTGCATAATCCTCGTCTCCTCAGACGCACGTACGTGCCCGTGCTATTAAATTTATGGCTGTCCCAACTGCATTTCTTTTCCTTTGTCTCCCTTTCTCCATCCATCCATCCATCCATCCATCCATAAAAAATATGTTAAGAAAGAGAGTGACTAGGAAAGAAGGAAATCAGTGGATCCTGAGGAAGGTGGAATAGGTGGGGAGAGCAGAATAAAGAGAGAGTGGTGAAGAAGATCATACAAAAGCCAGCTTGAACAAGTGAGTCTTCAGCTGCTTTTTGAAGGAGACCACTGAGTCCACTGATCTCAGGCTCAGAGGGAGAGAGTTCCAGAGTCTGGGGGCCACAGCAGCAAATGATCTGTCACCTTTGGTCTTTAGCCTGGTGCTGCACAACCAGTAGGCTTTGATCACTGGACCTCAGGGACCTGCTGGGGGTGTAGGGACTAAGAAGATCACCAATGTAAGATGGTGCTTGTCCATGTAAGGCCCTATAGTGTCATGACTGAGGGAAGTTTCCTGACCCAAGACATGCAGAATTCACACTAGGAGACGTAGGTAGGAAAAAATAAATGTTTTATTTTTAAGGAGAACTAAAGGTGCACCGCCAGACGTGGCGGTGATGTTGAGCACAGCTCCGGGGCTGGGTCTGTTGAGACAAACACTGTCAGGGTTGGGCAGCGGGGAATATAATTTGCAAGACTCAGTTTGTAGTGGATCTTACTGTGGGGGCTGAAATCTAGAGCTTGGTAGGGTAGCCAGGACTGGGGTGATCAACGTCAGCGAGAATCCAAAATCCAAGGGAGGTGAGCGGTGGGAGAGTGGGTCGGTTCGGGTGAGGAGGGAGATCAGGCTTGGAGATGAAAACCAGGTTATTGTAGAGTAGGTTCGTGGTGAGAATTCTTGGTGAAGGGAAGGCAGAGGTCATCAAAAAAAAAAAACAACAATGACAGACAAATATAAAGCAAGACTAAAACTGTAGTTTTACTATAGTGGCAAGAGCTACCCAAAGTGAGTAATCTTCCGGCGAGGTGAAGTGATCTCCAGCTCCTTATAAACACAGGTAGTGGATGAGGGAAATCATCGCAGCTGGCCGCTCTCCGGAGCCACCCACCTGCAACGACTAAAGGTGATTAGAGGAATGTGCAGACTCACTCCAGATCCTGACATATAGACTCAGCTTTGCAATGTTCCTGAGATGGAAGAAGGAAGAGCGAACAAGAGAACTGACATGAGAATCCAGGGTGAGAGCTGGGTCAAAGGTCACACCAAGATTCCTGACAGAAGATTTGGTGTGATTAGCAAGCTGACCAAGAGAGTCTCTGACTTTGGGAACCAGCTTGTCTGGGGCACAGATGAGGATCTCAGTCTTATCTTCATTCAGCTGTAGAAAGCTCCCAGCCATCCAGGTTTTGATAGAGTCTAAGCAGGTGTGTAACAGCTGCAGCTTAGACATCTCACGGGGCTTAAAGGAGATGTACAGTTGGATGCCATCTGTGTAAAGAAGGTAGGAGATTCCTTTGAAGGAGCTCAGGATGTGCTGAAGAGGAAACAGATAGAGGAGGAAGAGCAGAGGCCCCAGCACAGAACCTTGTGGAACACAATGGTTAAGGGAGGTTGTGGAGGACCTAAACTTGTAGACGGCCACAGAAAAGGAGTGCTCAGAGAGATAAGAGGAGAACCACTCCAGAGCAGTTCCTGATAGGCCTACCCAGTCTCTGAGCCTCTCCAGTAGCAGGTGATGGTCAACAGTGTCAAAGGCTGCAGTCAGGTCCAGCAGGACCAGAACAGAACAGTCCCCTGCATCACTGTGAGTCAGAAGGTCATTAGAGACCCTAAGAAGAGCTTTTTCAGTAGAATGAGCTCTACGAAAACGAGTGAGGGTAGGAATGTAGATTGACCGGTAAATCAAGAGCTTTGCCTTCTGGCTCAGCTCTCTCTTCACCACAAAATATCGGTAGAACGCCCGCATTACTGCAGATGCAGCACCAATCCGCCTATCGTTCTCGCACTCCATTTCTCTATCACTCGTGAACAAGACCCTGAAATGCTTAAACTCCTTGAGCCAGGACCTCGTCCCTGACCTGGAGAAAGCATTGTACACTTTTCCGATTTCAGACTATGGTCTCGGATTTAGAGGAGCTGATTCTCATCCCAGCCGCTTCACACTTGGCTGCGAACTGCTCCAGCGAAAGCTGGAGATCACTGTCTGCAACAGGACCACATCATCTGCAAAAAGCAGAGACCAGGGGTCTCATTCATAGGGCTTGCTTATGCACAAAACGGGGTCGGAAAACTGTGTAAGCAACTTTACACAAAAACTGGGATTCATAAAAGAAAACTTAGCGGAAAAATGTGCGCAACTTTAAGTTGACTAAGACCTGGTTTACGCACATTTTGGACATGGAGGGCACCTGCAGTGCTGCTGCTAAGAAGGATACAATTATGAATTCCAGCAGCATTATCACTTGTACCACTTTGTGCGCACACAGAACAAGCACACAAAAACAAAGCCAAAACAGCGCACCAAAGTACCAGGGCGTCCATCTGCGGCGCCATCTTGGGAAAAGTTTGCAGAGCCAACATCATGTCGACATTTGTTATTCACGTCCATTCCCCACTCCCTGCAAGAAGTTGCAGCCAGAAACTTCTCTCCCCTCTGGCCAGTTGAAACAGCATTATGAATAGAATGGAAGCCAACAAACGAAGCAGCACAAAAGAATTTTCTTCTAAACATAAAAAGCCACAAAACCTCTCCCAAAAACTGAATGACAACAGAACAAATAAAATGAGGATAAACATTGGAGACTCTTTTATTTGCAACTACTAACTAATGGTGGCGTGCACAGACGCAGCAGCTCAGTGCTCTATGCTTCAGTGTTTTGTTGGTCATATGTTTGGATATTTGTGCTTGTATTATTATCACTTTCAACTACATTATGTCAAGCCAATAACATCTACAGCTGACAAGAACTTTTCATGATTGGCGTGTGCATCAGTGTTTGTGGTAAGTGAAGTTAACTACATCTTTTAAACGTGACATATACACTTGAAACATGTCCAAATTACCGGTATATATGTTATAAATACTGGTTTGGTTATCTAAAAAAGCATTTAGATAATAAGTCTATTTTAATATTCCTAACTTGTCACACATGCAGTCATCATCAAAGATAATTTCATCATTTTGTTGCACAAAACGTACTTGAAATTATTTTATAATCTTCCAAATAAATTGTGGCTGTGAAGAATTTATTGAGATCATTCTTATGATGTAAAGTAGTGAAATGATCATTTTTTGTTTGCTCTATCCCATCCAGTTCAAGCATTCCAGACAAAATAAAGATACCTGCCATTTATCCATCCATCCTCTTCTGATTGATTGAGGGTCAGGCTGGGGAAGCAGTCCAAGTAAAGAAGACCAGACTTTCTTTATTGTGGGTGCTTCTGCCAGCTTCTGTGAGGGAATTTTTGGGTCTCCAGGCAAACATGGAAACATAGTCCATCATTTGGCTCCTCACAGTACAAATTTTCAAATTATGGACTTCTCAGTTATTTTCTGTTTTTTTTCCATTATTTTTTCATACATGGTTGCTTTTACAATTTCAGTATGTGCATTATGTTTGTTGTGATTCTCTGAGTGAAATGATTCCTTCTAGTAATTGTATAATAGCCATGTCCTGATGTAAATAAATGCTGGTTGTATACATTTTTTAGGTTTGTGATTCAAAATTTGCCATATTTGTTCTCCACTATATTGTTTTTTTAAAAGTAGTTCATGATTGTGAAAGCATACAAACTATATGGGCCATTCCCATCTGTACCGGGTCAGCCCGGGTCAGGTAGCGTAGGTTGTTTACATATCTGGGTGGCCTGGTATTTTTCCGGGCCAACCAAGGCTCATTCTCAGCCCTCTTCTCGAGGGGGTCTGCTTCAGGCCGACCAGGGCCAACACACCCACTGCTGACAGCAAATTCACACCTTCCATTAGAACAAGCCTCTGATTGGTGGGTAGAATCAGCCCACATGGGCTTAAGACAAGGATGTGTGGAATCAACCGGGCCAGGCTGGGGCCGACTGGGGCTACCCGGCCCAGGCCGACCCGGTACAGATGGGAATGGCCCATTAGTTTCCTATCTCTAACTGGCAATACAAAGGACATTGTAGTAAACACATTTGACCACAAGATGTCACTATTACTCAGTTCTTACACACAGCACCTTAGTCAGTGGTTGAATCACCTGTTCACCAAGTCATCTATATGTGCCTTAATCGCCCAATCACCTAATTTGATTAAATTAGATTTATTTTCACAGAAATTCACCCAACCTAATAAAAGTATTCAAACATTTCCTGTGATCTGGTTTACACACATCCCCTCACCAAAGGGATGAGCACCAGTTCTTCTGTGAGATTTAAATCTGGAGTATTTTGGGTTTTTTTTTTTAACAGGAAACAAGTGAGAAGCAAAGGGAAATATAAAATGAAATAATATAAGAAAACTGTTACAATTTCACTAAAGTCAGTCTAGTTCCTGCTTTTAATGATTTGTTTATGACTTATTTAGACTTCTCAGCAACAATTATTAATGTTTGAAACCACACGTAAAAATCGCAACTTCATTTTTTTCAAGTCACGTTGTTCACAAGTCATACAAGCTATTTTGTATGTTACAACAGATTGTAAAGGAACCCCAGCTGTATTTGTGTTTTTTCTATTTGTGTTTGGACAAAATCAGTTTGTCTAAACTCATTAGTCTGAGAACCTCCTCTGACATGTCTGGATGACCAAGGCCTCCACAGACATCAGCTGGGGGAAACTGCTGCCATTCCTGAACGACAGCAGATGGAACTTTTGGTGACCTACATTTTCTTGATCCACCTATCATTTCCCCTGAGCTGATGATTAGCACTAGTGGCATTGCATCATAGTCTCTGTCCACAGTGGGAGCTTGTTTCTTGGTGAAATAAATGAAACACTTTTTTCTGGCTGGACTCTGAGTCAAATTATAATAGATTACATACTTTAACTACATGTATATTACATATATTAAATTAACTTTCTGTTTCCTCCTCCATAAAACCCCAAATCAGATTTAAATCTCCAGTTCAGAATTATTCTTTCTAACTTTGTCCATAACTCATCTGAGTCATCTCTATTCTTTTTGACAAGTTAGACATTTTTAAATCAGTTCCAGGTCAAGTTCCATGTTTTTATTATATTACTATAGAATGTGTTTTTTATGTAACTGACTGAACTGAATGATCTTTAGGTTTAGTCCTTAATTCAGCTCCCAATAAGAATAACCTTCCCCTGAAACTAATAATTCGTCCCAAGACATGCATTTTAGGTTTTATTCACCTCATTATTAGCACAACAATTGTAAGATGCTTTGATGAAAGCATATAAATAAACAAAAGCATTATTCAGTTGACGGGTATTTGGCAGTTTGTGTTGTTGCTTTACATTTAAGCAACAAGTAAGTATTACATTTATGGCTGTCCCTATGCATTTCTCCTCCTTTGTCTCCCTTTCCCCTGTGTCACATCAACTCATCTTGTTACTCACAGATTTTCTTTACCCTCTTTGCAAATTCTACTGATTTTATTGTGGTGCTAGTGTTCATTTTCTCCAATGTCTCTGTTTTTGTGTTGAATACGTTGATGGTGCTTCCTAGATTAGTTTTCTTAATTGCCTAACTGCTCTGCCTCTGCATTCTGCCTCCAATGAAGACAATCAACACACTTCTCAGTTTTATAAGAGACCTAACAAGTAAAACAAGTTAAAATATTGTGACAACTGACTTCAAATATGTGTTGATAAATAAGAGTTATCTTATTTGCCCTTTAATTAAATCTGTTGAGTCAAATGGTAAAGAGTTAACAACAAATGTTTGTGTCTTTTTGAAGACTTAGCTGACATTTCTACAATATACTGGCATCAAAGGAATCAGGCTGCAGAATCTGAAGTTTAACAATGTGCTTAAGAGACTTCCTGAACCAAGGATAGAAAAATGCATAGATAATTGGATTAAGACAAGAGTTGAAATAAAACAGCCAGATTCCTAAATTTGAAAACACTTCACTGGATACCAGCTCATGTCCTGTAAATGCAGGATAATAATAAGGACAAAAACCTAATATAAACACCAGCACAACAACACCGAGAGCTGTAGCTGCTTTTCTCTCTGACTTCTTAGCAGTTACAGGAACTGAACCCTGCAGAGTGACGGATGCAACATGAGACCTCAGGGCTTGAGCCTGAGACACCGCCACCACAAATACTCTCATGTACAGAACTATGATGACTGTGATGGGGCCAATAAAGGTCAAAATGAGATCAAAAACACCTATCAATAACTCAATTAAAAGCACACACTCCCCATAGCAGGAATTATATATGTCTGGATTTTTCAGATGGTCCTTCAGTATCACTCCATTATAAAACACAGAGCAAAGCCAACACACACACACACAGATTTTAACTCTCCAGTTGGTGACTTTAGTTTGGTAATGCAGAGGGTCACAGATGGCCACATACCGATCAGCTGATATCAGCACCATGTTTCCTACTGAGGCAGAGGTGATGATAAATGATATAAAGTTGAAAAGTGCACACATTAAACTTCCTAAAACCCAGCATCCTTCTGTCAGGAGGAGCCGAAATGGCATCAGCAGAAGTCCAACCAAGAAGTCTGAGACAGCCAGCGACAGGAGAAAGATGTTAGTGGGGGTGTGGAGCTGCCTGTGGATAATGAAAAAGAACACAAAACACATAGTTAAATAAAAAAAAAAATGAAATTAATAACCAATGCCATTTACAACATCACAAATGTTCTGTAAATGATAGAGTATTATTACTAAATATCTGTTAAACAAACACAGGAAAAAATGTATTACACTTTTGTATTTTACTATAAAAGAACAAGACACAGTTCATATTATTAGTATTATATGTACTAACTGCAGAAAAGAAATACATTAGGAATTGCATAAAAGGCACTACACAGTACATCATTAGCATTTAAATGCATCATTTTAGTATATCTTTATGCCTGAAGTGGGAGATAGAGATGATGACAAGCAGGTTGAGAGTCACGGTCACAAACGAGATGCAGGACAGCAGCACATAAACGAAAATGTTCTCAGAATGAAGCTGCATGGATTTCTTGCAGGAAATGTTTATGAGTTGTGGAAAACAGAGTTCAGCTCCTCCCAAAATGGCCATAATTATAGGAAAGCTGATCAGAGCCTCATGAGCTCTGATGAGTTTCTGCCAATGCTGTCATTAATGCTGCTGTTTTATCTCAATCCTCCCTCTTTAAAAGCACTAATATAAACATCTCAGACATTAAGCCTTGGAGATTCAAACTCAGCTCATTAAAAAATTTCCTCTAAACAACAACTGTTTAAAGGAAACTTGCACAAAATATACAAATTAAACATATTTGTGATTATTTCCTCAAGTGATCACTTGAACCAATAAGAGAGCAGAATGCAGAATTCTATAAATATTTTTAATTCTATTTTTTTCCCTTATGTTTCAAGTTGGGCTGCAACAAACGATTATTGGGATCATCGGTGAATCGGATGGGGTCTTGACTTGATTAATTGGTTAATTGGATTAAACAGGAACATTTATTGCTAGGGAAACATTTTTTCTCTCTCCCTGGGCTGCCACCTTACCGTGGTGGAGGGGTTTGAGTATCTCAATGATCCTAGGAGCTAAGTTGTCTGAGGCTTTCTGCCTCTGGTAGGGTCACCCATGGCAAACAGGTCCTAGGTGAGGAATCAGACAAAGAGCAGCCCGAAGACCTCTTATGATAAATTATATAAATGAAAACCTTGTTCCCTCGCCTGGACGTGGGTCACCGGGTCCCCCTCTGGAGCCAGGCCTGGAGGTGGGGCACTTTGGCGAGCACCTGGTGGCCGGGCTTTCACCTATGGAGCCTGGCCGGGCGCAGCCCGAAGAGGAAATGTGGGTCCCCCTTCCCATAGGCTCAGCACTTGTGGGAGGGGCCAAAGGGGTCGGGTGCAGTGTGTGACGGGTGGTAGTCGAGGGCAGGGACCTTGGCGGTTTGATCCTCGGCTACAGAAGCTGGCTCTTGGCACACGGAATGTCACCTTTTTGGTGGGGAAGGAGCCTGAGTTGGTGTGTGAGGTTGAGAGGTTCCGACTAGATATAGTCGGACTCACCTCAACGCACGTCTCTGGAACCAGCTTCCTTGAGAGGGGTTGGACTTTCTACCACTCTGGAGTCACTCCCACTTAGAGGTGCAGAGCAGGGGTGGGCATACTAGTTGCCCCCATCTTGGTGCCTGTACGTTGGGGTTTACCCCAGTGAATGAGAGGGTAGCCTCCCTCCGCCTATGTGTTGGGGGGACGGGTTCTGACTGTGGTCTGTGCTTATGCACCAAACTACAGTTCAGACTACCAACCCTTTTTGGAGACCTTGGAGAGGGTGCTGGAAAACGCTCCTTCCGGTGATTCCCTCGTTCTGTTGGGGGGAGTTTAACGCTCATGTTGGCAATGACAGTGAGACCTGGAGAGGTGTGGTTGGGAGGAACGGCCCCCCTGATCTGAATTTGAGTGATGTTTTGTTATTGGACTTCTGTGCCAATCATGGATTGTCCATAGTGAACACCATGTTCAGACATAAAGTTGTCCATATGTGCTCTTGGTGCCAGGATACCTTAGGCCGCAGCTCGATGATCGACTTTGTTGTTGTTTCATCTGACCTGCGGCTGCATGTCTTGGACACTCGGGTGAAGAGAGGGGTGGAGCTGTCAACTGACCATTACCTGGTGGTGAGTTGGCTCAGATGGTGCGAAAGGATGCCGGTCAGACCAGGCAGGCCCAAACGTATTGCGAGGGTCTGCTGGGAACGTCTGGCAGAGTCTCCTATCAGAGGGAGCTTCAATTCCTACTTCCAACAAAACTTCCAAAATTTTCCGGGGGAGGCGGGGGACATTGAGTCTGAATGGACCCTGGTCCATGCCTCCATTGTTGAGGCAGCCGACTGGAGCTGTGGTCGCAGGATCGTCGGTGCCTGTCATGGTGGCAACCCCCGAACCCGCTGGTGGACACCGGCAGTTAGGGATGCTGTCAAGCTGAAGAAAGAGTCCTATCAGGTCTTTTTGGCCTGTGGGACTCCAGAGGCAGCTGATGGGTATCGGCAGTCCAAGCAGAACGCGGCTCGGTTGGTCGCCAAGGCAAAAACCCAGGCATGGGAGGAGTTCGGTGAGACCATGGAGCAAGACTTCCATACGGCTTCGAGGAGATTCTGGTCCACCATCCGGTGCCTCAGGTGGGAAAAGCAATGCACCACCAACACTATCTATAGTGGGGATGGTGTGCTGCTGACCTCTACTCAGGACAAGGACGTAATTTTCACTTTAGAAGTGGGGGGGGGGGGGGGGGGGACACGGGGGGGGAGGGGGAGGGGGGGTATCTTTACAGTATGCTCTAATGGGAAACAGGCTTCAACACAAACGGTTGCTTTCCGCTTGATCCTACAGCTCAACCAGTGTCAATTTAATATAACGTAATATTGTTTTTGGATGGTAAAAAGTGCAGGGGTCAAAACTTGACTTTGGAAAAAGTGGGGGGGACATGTCCCCCCTGTCCCCCCCCCCCCCAAAAAAAATTACGTCCATGACTCAGGACATTGTGGATCGGTGGGCAGAATACTTCAAAGATCTCCTCAATCCCACCGACACGTCTTCCAGTGAGGAAACAGAGTCTGGGGATTTGGGGTTGGCCTCTCAAATCTCTGGTGCTGAGGTCACTGAGGTGGTTAAAAAGCTCCTCTGTGGCAAGTCTCCAGGGGTGGATGAGATCCGCCCGGAGTTCCTTAAGGCTGTGGATGTTGTGGGGCTGTGTTGGCTGACACGGCTCTGCAATATCGTGTGGACATCGGGGGCAGTCCCATTGGACTGGCAGACCGGAGAAGTGTTCCCCTTATTTAAAAAGGGGGACCGCAGGGTGTGTTCCAACTACAGGGGGATCACACTCCTGAGCCTTCCTGGTAAGGTCCATTCAGGGGTTTTGGAGAGGAGGGCCCGTCAGATTTCTGAACCTCAGATTCAAGAGCAGCAATGTCATGACTCCCATCCTTCACCCTCATTTAACTTTCATTCAGCTCACCTGGTCCCCTCACCAAGCTCCAGCCAAGCCCTGTTTTCCATAGCAACCCCAGTCAGCACCTCATCACCTTCATGCATCACACCTGGCTCCCTCATGCCACCGCTCAAGCCAAACCCTGTTTCCACAGCAACCTAACCTACACCTCATCAGCTCATTACGCACACCTGCTCCTCCTCCCAGGCTGCTCTCCAACCGGTGCCAGATTATTACAGCCTTGCCAGTAGTTCTCCAGCCATCCACCGTGCCTGATCTTTGTCTCCAGACCTTGTTTTTTTCTCCTGACCCCTGCCTTGCTCGTTGCCTGCCATTTGGACCTTGCCTGTCTCTGACCCTGCCTCAGCCTCGCCCTACTCTGGTAACTCTGCTAAAAATAAATACTTTTTAATCCATTTTTTTACTGTGTTTGGCATCGTCACGGGTCTTCAGAGTTCAGCTTGTGACAGAATAATCTGGCCTGATTCTGACTCTATGCCGACACAGCACTTGGGAGTATTTTTTTTCTCTCTTCATACCTGTCATGGAGTATCTCACGCTCCTGGACTTCATGGAACTAGAGAAGGAGCAGGCGTCACCGTTCTGGGGAACGCGGCTGGCCATCAGGCCACAGCCACGCAGAGGTTCCACTCCTCCATCCAGGCCTGCTGCGGCCATCTTGCGCAACGTGTACCTGACAACGCAACAGTGGCAGTCCCGGAGACCTTCTACTAATTCATGGCCTTCACAGACGCAAGGTTTTGCAGCTACGCCGCTCAAGTCCCCCAGTCTCAAGTGTTCCCGCCTCAAGTCCCCCAGTCTCAAGTGTTCCCGCCTCAAGTCCCCCAGTCTCAAGTGTTCCCGCCTCAAGTCCCCCAGTCTCAAGTGTTCCCGCCTCAAGCCCCCCAGTCTCAAGTGCTCCCGCCTCAAGTCCCCCAGTCTCAAGTGTTCCCGCCTCTAGTCCCCCAGTCTCAAGTGTTCCCGCCTCTAGTCCCCCAGTCTCAAGTGTTCCCGCCTCTAGTCCCCTAGTCTCAAATGTTCCCGCCTCAAGTCCCCCAGTCTCAAGTGTTCCCACCTCAAGTCCCCCAGTCTCAAGTGTTCCCGCCTCAAGTCCCCCAGTCACAAGTGTTCCCGCCTCAAGTTCCCCAGTCTCAAGTGTTCCCGCCTCAAGTCCCCCAGTCACAAGTGCTCAAGTCCCCCAGTCTCAAGGGTCCCCTCAAGTGTTCCAGTCTCAAGAGTCCCCTCAAGTGTTCCAGTCTCAAGAGTCCCCTCAAGTGTTCCAGTCTCAAGAGTCCCCTCAAGTGTTCCAGTCTCAAGAGTCCCCTCAAGTGTTCCAGTCTCAAGAGTCCCCTCAAGTGTCCCAGTCTCAAGAGTCCCCTCAAGAGTATATGTCCCCACCAGTCCCAGAGTCTATGTCCCGACCAGTCCCAGAGTCTATGTCCCCACCAGTCCCAGAGTCTATGTTCCCACCAGTCCCAGAGTTCCCTCTGTCCCCTCAGTCTTTAGTATCCCCTCTTAGCCCGGAGTCCCCTCAGTGTCTTAGCCTTAGTCTAGTGTCCCCCCTTAGTCATCGTCCTCTAGTGTCCCCTCTTGGTCGTCGTCCTCTAGTGTCCCCTCTTGGTCTAAGCCTATTGTCCCCTCTTGGTCTAAGCCTAGTGTCCCCTCTTGGTCCTCGTCCTCTAGTGTCCCCTCAGTGCTTTAGCCCAGAGTCCCCTCCTAGTCATAGTCCAGAGTTTCCTCTGTCCCCTCAGTATCCAGAGTCCCCTCGTAGTCCAGTGTCCCCTCTTAGTCATAGTCCAGTGTCCCCTCTTAGTCGTGGTCCGGTGTCTCCTCTGTCCCCTCAGTCTCCAGAGTCCCCTCTTAGTCGTAGTCCAGCGTCCCTTGTGTCCCCTCTTAGTCCAGTGTCCCCTCTTGGTCTTAGTCTTAGTCCGGAGTCCCCTCTTAGTCCTCGTCCTCCAGTGTCCTCTATCCCCAGACCCCCGCAGTCCCGGCTCCTGGTTCCCCGTCGCCGGCCCCCCAGACTCCCGCAGTCCCGGCTCCTGATTCCCCGTCGCCGGCCCCCCAGACTCCCGCTGTCCCGGCTCCTGGTTCCCCGTCGCCGGCCCCCCA